ACGAAAAGTATTTTCCAACGTTTTCTATACCAACCCATGTTTTTAATGGAAATTAGGCCATGAGCAATGTCACATGACTTGACGAGATCTCGCGTTACCGAAGGTATTTCCCAACGGTATGACGTAGGCCGGCGAGATTTTAGTCACGTGGCATTAGAAGGCGGGGCTATAAAAAAAACTGGAGTAAAACAGAGTAAGTTTGAAAACATATGTTTTTAGTGATTGTATTGGTTGTTTTAGGCATGTTATGTATGTTCATCTTGTGCATAAAGAATAGATCTTTCGATCCATGTGCGACATGTGTGTGAAAGTGACGATTTGTTTCTAAAATATCAGTTTGAAGTGCGCTCCGGGCGCGGGTCGCATATTTCCCGCATATTATAGAGGGTCGGAGTTCTGACGTTAATCGACGACAGACCGATATGAAAAAAGTCGATAAAACGTCAGAATAATTCGGACTACCCCAAGGGCTGTAGGGTGGGGCTCAAAGGAGTGAGTGTGCTAAAATTTCTTTATTTTCCTTGTTAAGAATCCGAGATGCTAGTTTCAAATCCTTTTTAGTCTGAAATCTGCATGCTAGATATTGAGTAAGGTGGTTTTATTGTTTTTTGTCACTTTGAATAATATTTCTGTTCATGTTAAAAACAAAATCAACTCTCTGTATAAATATATCAGGTGACCGTTAAGGCCCATGGGCCTCTTGTTTAATTTTGCAGTACAGATAATTCGTTTCTATTTTAAATGAAAATGTATATAGTTTAAAGCAATTTGAAGTAAACTGTATCTGCCTATCTCTTGAGAGTTGCTCCTGAACTGAATTGATAAATTCTTCAAAAAATGAAATAAAATTTCCCGGGAAATGGTATGGTACGACAACATAATACTAGTATCATACAATGAAAACAGTGGCGAGCTAGTATCTCTTTACACTATTGACTATATTGCTCTTTCCTAACCTTATGACATGGAATAATTCTTTTCCCACACTCACCCATTTTTCTCAAAATCAATTTCATTAAAACACAACGACAATGCTATGATAATTATTGATATGTGGAAATGCATTTAGCTGCTAAATAATGAAACAGATTAGTTAATGATCTTTTACTAGGTTTACGTATAAACTGCAATGCGGTACACACATGTAGCAATTCTGCTTAAGCACGCGCTAGTGTTGCGTGTTGGTCACCTTACGGGGTAAAGTATTCTTTTCTGACCGGAATTATAGAGATCTCTGACCAATGGAAAGAAAAAGCATTATCTTCACCACATGAGATATCCGTCACGAAAAGGAAACCTTTTCTTGAATTCCAAGCTATGATGAACAAAAGTTCAGTTACAGCAAGACGAACACTAAAGTTCTATGGGTCAAGTCATGGTGGTAACATGTACATTGAAAACGAGTCTGAAATGTATACTATGATTTAGTTTGTTTGTGTTTTTCGTCCTATTAACAGGAATTGTCAATTAAAGGGAGAGCCAGGTTTTGGTGGTGGAGGAATACCGGAATACCAGGAAAAAAGTACCGACCTGCGGCTAGTACCTGGTGCCCCACATACGCCTCGAAATTGCAACCCAGGAGTGGAGGACTAGTGATCGTAGACAGTCAGACGCCTTAATCACTAGCCACCTAGGCCACCTTTTACCATTAATATAAAAGCGACATACACCGTAAGACTGATATATCAGTCAGACTAGTGACTGAAATGTCTTGTTTTGATTTTTATATACAAGTGAGAGTAACAGACATGCCATGTTTGTTTTTTATATATTTATACTAGTTAGAGTGACAGACAAGACAAAGCTTTAGTGTACAATCCAATTTATGAGCATGTCAATAGTGGTATGTTAGTTAACGTTACTCACCAATAGCTTCTGCAATTCGCGGACTGTACCCTGTAGCAAAAATAACAATAGAAGAGTTAAACAAAAATCTATATCATCAGAAATTTGAAAATACTGTCTTAACTTAAACCAACATCATAAAATATATTCTCGCTTATACTTTTAGGCATATTAATATTTCTGTATACTATTAACATCGACCATTAATGCGCTTATTTTCTCTTCCAAGCTTTCTGATAATAAAACAGTCAAACATATATAATTAGATATTTCAAGATCGATGCTGCTACGACCCACTATTTAATAAATATGTTTTCAATATACATCTATGTCCATTTAATAAAGTGCCAAGATTCAGTTTGATCATTAGATATTGACCAATACTTCTTAAAAAACGATAAATGTAAAAGGATGCCAGTTTGAAATTATTTCCTCAAGTTTGTAAGTATGGATTATGAAAAGTTCTTGTTATACAACCAATAAAAGTTTCTATGTGACGTTTCGATGACAAGTACGATATGTACTCTGTCACCTTTATGCTCATAAAGGTGTAAAAAGTGAACGAGTTGTCCACAGAATCGATGGTGATTCGGCTACGCTGTACGCGTATGTACAATAGTTGTTCAATAGTTGTTATATATGTACTGAAATGACCCGATTCAGCTAGGGTTTGTTTAATACTTGGTCATAGATGTGCGCGAGTCTATGAGCCCCCTCATCTCGATTTGGACATTATTCTATAGCATTATAGCATTGTATCATCGGAAAACGGCTAAAACTGTATTCCGGACCGTTGTTTTAAAACATGCTACTTGCCTTGTGCTTGCTCCAGGGTCAGGCTCTGTATCATCGTCTCGGAGTCTGATTGGTCGTCTTCATCTTGTCTTTGTCATTTGACTGGTGTTGGACCTGGAATACACATTGTTACACGATGAAACAGAGACACTAATTTGTATAAAGTTGTATTATCACTAGAAATACGAAATAAGGAAACATCTATTAATTTAAAACAGATTTAATTCAGAAAGCCAGACAAAGTAAAGAGTTAGCACACAATACGGCCATTTCGTCGACTTTGGACTCATCAATGGTATTTGAATAAAAGACGCAGATAATTATATTTTAAAACTTATATCTCATGTAAACGTGCCCGTACGAAGCTATAGCAAAGCTATAAGATCATTTGTGTGAACCGTAACGATTTATTAGACCATTTGAATTTATTATGGCACTGAACATTTCTTATCAAGAAATTATTTTTCGCAGTTTATGTTTTGCTCAGTTAATGTTGCATTGCCTTCGATAATGTTTTCTTATGAAAAGAGATTAGTACTATAATACACTATCTAATACAAGCAGCCTCCTTAAATGAAATTATTGACACCCACTCGTAGCTATAAACTTTATAGGTTCAAATGCATCATTCAACATTCATTATTGAACAAAACACATGTCCATTCAAACAATATTCAATGATGCGTGGTAACGCATCTTGGTGAATATGTTTGAACAAAACATGGCTATATACCATCATAGAAGTTTAAAAAAGATACATTTCATTGCCTTTTTTCGTTCAAAACAATAGAATATGTAAGTGGTTTCGTTCATTAAGTTACTTTGTACGTGTAATAAAAACACTTTACTGACAGGACAGTCTCATAGTTATAATGCAGAGGTAATAAAATACAATCACAAGCAGGAACTTTCATAGTTACTATTTAAGGATTAACTTGGATATATTTTTTATGTTATGGAGATATAACACAAAAAAACGGAGTGCACTCTAAATAAACCATGAAGCAGTAAAGTTAATCCTTATAATTTAATCTACTACACACAATCCCTGTGGAAATCCACGTTTATTGATGGACTCTTTTCTTTTAGAAATGATTACGCCGCTGTATCAGCCAATCAAAAGCGACGTTACAAACGGCGACGTCATTCCTTTACGTTATGGGCTGATAACATACATTTTAGGCCAATGAAAAGGTTTGTTACAAGCAAGATTAAGTTATTTATTAGTAATGAAAATAATTCACAAGGCCGTATCATACAATGTAATATCAATAATTAAGCATTGGATATATCCCAAGAATATCTGAGAGTTAAAATGTAGAAGGAATCATAGGAAAATAATCAGACATTCTTATAGCTATACTGTATAAGTTATTAAAATATATTTATCAGACATGAATGATGGATAGTTACAATAACATGATAATGAAAACATTTTACCAGACACAACTGTCTATAGTTACGGATTAGTGGTCTTGAAAACATTTTACCAGATACAACTGTCTATAGTTACAGTGTATTTAGTCATGAAAACATTTTAGAAGATACAATTGTCTATAGTTACAATGTATTGGTAATGAAAACATTTTACCAGACATAACTGTCTATAGTAACAGTATATTGTTCATGAAAACATTTTACCATACACAACTGTCTATAGAAACAGTGTATTAGTCATGTAAATATTTTACCAATTTACCAGATACAACTGTCTATCGTTACAATGTATTAGTCATGTAAACATTTTACCAGACTGTATAGGTACGATAGAAAAGTAATGGGAATTATCTAGTAGAAAGTCAAATAGTTATAATGCATAGCTAATGAAAAGACTTCACCAAGCATGGACATCTGATGGTTACAAACTGTAACAGATATACTGTATAAATAAGGGAAATATTATTAACCAGAAAATACTTTTAAAATGTCACTAAGCAGTAAAATCCTATAGTAACAATGTATCCGTAATGAAAACAACACAGGACAGCATTTGAGATTTAAAGCAAACAAATTATACACTGACCCCCATAGAGGGTTGCAATAAATATATATATATATAAGTAGTACTTCCCTAGTACTTTCAGCTCTTTATACGGCCATCAGGGGGTAATACAATACAATAGGATATATAATGGACGCAGGCATTATTATGCCTCTATATATTCATATCAATAACTATACATAAATGAAATAAAATTAATAGTCACTTCCGGTAATGGATTTGAAGCTAGCAAAATGGTTAAATTTTAGTTCCAAGCATTTCCAATAGTTGTACAAATTAATTTCAAAGTCTTAAATGGTTGTTGCCATATATCTATTAGGCAGGCTGTTCCATATATCTATTAGGCAGGCTGTTCCATATATCGATGATTCTTTGTGTCGTTTCTTTTATATTTAACCATCACAAGGACTTTCGATGTTTATTTGTACAAATATAAATGTACAAATATATGTAATATAGTTAATACATACCTCCAGCTATTACACTCTGTATGTCCTCTATAGCCTTGGTAATGATCTCAGCCGCTTTGACGTCGATCTTCCTGATCACCTCAAACAGAGGTTTGTATGATCCCTGAGTTATGACTCCTTTTGCTATCAGATTCTTACAGATCTCTGAAAAGTCTGTTATACTACCGCCAAACAGCTGATCAGGGTCCAACAGGGGGCTTAACAGTTCAAGCAGGCTCTGCCAGGTATGGTGTTTTGGACTGAACACTGGCTCAAATCCTGAACTAGGGCATCATGCAGTCTGGATATATCTTCTCGTTGTCGGAAAGATTTTAATATCTAGAGAAATGATATACAGAACATGCGTTAAAATAGAATAAACGTTTACGGATGTTCGCTATAATAGACATTCATCATTGAGGATAAATACATGTTTAGCCATGGACTCATCTACCACATGGTCCTCATATAAAATATTGTCAATGAAAAGAAAATTTGAAAAGGCATTTTCTTCAGGCGTACGATAGTGAAGACACTGTAGGTTACTATTGTTCCTTCTAAATCAAACCAAATGGATTGGTAATACTGAGAATAATGACCATTAGCGAGAAGTAAATGTTTAATAACAGGTAGGTTTTAAATGCCTTGAAACAAATTATAACCACCTAAATGTGTTCTTGTATATCAATAAGTCCAGCTGAAGATAAAAACGAGTATGGCTTCACATACAAATACTTTTACCGATATATATAGCATTGTTTTGTTTTATGTGTCAGCTTTCAACGACGTTCGGGTAAGAGAACCATATTTTCTTGTACTGTTTTCCACATTGACAGGGACAAACTGTGTCTGTATCCACAGTACTTGTACTTAACTAGTCAGTTCGTAAGATTGCCACAAACAAACAGGATTATTAGGAATCTGAGAGGAGTTTTATTGAGGGCGGGAACAATACTTACACTTTTACTGATGTCCATTGTACCTGAGGGCAGTTATCACTCATTGGATGCTTCTAAAGCTGAAAAAAGGAACACAGATCTTAATCACAAATAGCATACACATTCTTCCACATATGCCTAACTCTTTATTATATGTCTAAGTTAGAGGATATCCAATAACAAAAAATGTTAGTACAAAAAGCGCTTTTCACGCAAAAAAACCGAAATATCGTTACCATTTATTAAAAATTTGACATTAATCATAGTTGTCTTCTTATTCCATCTGATTGTTGCTTTAAAGAGCAGGAATGTCATTATAATTGTTTCAAATTTACTACTGTGCCACTGCTACTAAGATTTATGTTATTTACTGAGATTTATGTTATTTACTGAGACTGAAAGCAATAATTTTACCACTGTCCTTAGATGAATTATTTCTAAATGCATATATTTATGTTTTCAGTAATCTGTTAAGATGATTGAGGGGATGTCAAACGCTGTCACGGGTAATCCTCACTTTTATTGAATACATTGCAGTGTTATGCATTTTTAGCATACTGTATTTATCAACATATTATAAAGGTGCAATACACTGGTATGTCTCGTGTTCCTCTACCATCTACTATATAAAGCTCATAACCAATCACTGGGTCTTTAATCATAGGAAAACATATAACATACAAACAGACATAATAGCATTATGTGTATTCGTATGAACATTATGCGTGTTTTTTCTGTTTGCGTATACATTTTTATATATTTGTTAAAGGCACTTGTGATTTAATGGGACCTCATATGAGATTCAATACGCCTCCATTAGGTGGAAACATCACCAAACAAAGACACCATTACCTGCACAGCTAACACACCAGAAAGTAATTTACCTTAGAATTGTACATTGTAAACCGCATACACCACACAAGGGTGTACACGTATGGTAGACTCCTGTCTGGTCGATAAAAGGGCGATCATAATACACTATCAGTCTGTATCCATCTGTATACTTAACTGTATACTTGTACTCATATGTCTGTATACTTACCAGTATTCCTGTATACATACCCATATACCTGTCGATAGTCTTTATGCACGTCTGTTGTTGTGCTCGTTCAGAATATCGGTCCTAACATGCACCTGAACTCATACACACCAAAGCTTGACTGGTTAACCGTCTTAGTTGGCAAAATTAATACAAACGGGAAAACGACCGGGTATAGCACTTAGCTACTGGTCTCAACAGAGAAAAACAGCCACATTAATTCGTTCTGATTCAATATAGATTGAAATCTGTATATAACAATAATTTTGTGATATGACGTGCTTGCTAGGTGTCACGTTTAAGCGCCAATTGTGCAAGACCTAATATTCCAGTCTCTAAAAACGGTCAAGAAATGCATGTTTAACAGTCCTAGTTTTAGTTTTAAGCGTGTCTATTTTACACCATGTAACAGATTGAGAATCAGAACGTTCAAGACAGATTCTCAAAACATTTGATATGTTCATAAATTCTGTAAAATTAAATTTTATGTGGTGATAATTATGAAATAAATAAAAACTTAAAATGACTACAAATTGTATATTTGTTTGAATCATTTTGCAGCGGTACTGGACTGGTGGACGTAGTTACGGCACCACTGTAACAGGAAAGGAACAATGTCCAGTCAGGCCGGGATTTGAACCCGGCACCTCCAAACTATAGGCGGACGCTCAAACAAATTTAAACACCTGGTCGCCGGTGATCGACACAGTCCAGTTCCGTTTCATTTTAAATTATACATGTTGATCATTGTTAGTATAAAGGAACACAAACCACATTAATGTTTATATTTGAATTCATAAATTATGGGTTTTATACACATCCCATTCTTTTTCAACAGTAGTTTAGATAAATTAAGATTCCAAAATATTTGGCTCCTAGCACCATTGATGAGTCACAGTACGGACAAAACAGCGCACAAACACATATTAACAAAGTGATTAAGAAAAGGAAATGGAAATGAAAGTAAAACGTATGTACAGATTAGCGTATAAAACCTGCATGAAAGAAGAAGCAAAAAAGGTAAATCGAATAAAAAGGAGAGAGTAGAATTGGAAATTTAAATTTAATAAATAGAGCAATAAAGTAATAAAAAATAAAAATAAATGTACAATGACGAAATGGCTCGGTGCGAATCACCAGATAAGAGTACAATATTTATTTATATATATATTTAAATTAACGGCACATACTAATACAGTCAGGAAATTTAACACCATAGTAATAGTGTTATACACTTCATTTATTTTATTATATATCTATATAGTTAGATACATGTACCAGTACATATACAGGCACTATTAGATATAATAAGAGCAATTATTTATAAGTGAGCCAACATTCTGAATACATAAAAAGAAGGACAGAACAGTTTTATGATCAGTGTAATTCATCTGTAACATACTCGATCTATTACCACACTTTACAGGTGCAATCGCACCTGTTTGTATGTTACATTCATCTTCAAATGAAATGCCTATATGTACACCGAAACGCACCGCAATGTCAAAAATCATCTATTAGTTCACGTCATCTGCATTTTTTTTATCAGGATATCACATATTATTTTTTACTCCTCTGGTAAAAATATGTTTCACTTCGATATTATTGATATGTAGTTTAATTACGAATGTTATCCTGATAGCTCTACATAAAACTGATAGTGGTCCGTTTCACTTTAATATCCTGACAGTTGTACTTATTCTCATTCGCATAAGAGACGCAGAACAAATCCTCCGCCTCTGCTGGGGGTCCACACCAGCCGCCTGTTACTCTTACGATACATACAATAGGATACAGCAGGCCTGTGTTTTCCTAAATCTTCATGACCTTCAACAGAAACCAGTCGGTGGTTCTTACCTTTGTGTAGAGCTTAACCTGACCCTTTTGCTTATCTTTATATCTAAATGATCTTTATGGTATTTGTGTACTTGTCACTCACGTGTACAGAAGTGTGATCGTCGCCACATGTATTGTCCCTGTATGTTGTCGCTGTGGTAAGTGTTGGCATCGTGTATTGACGTTGTGGTAACTATGATCATGAAAGCTATCGCTGTGGTAAATGTTCGCCCTCCGTAACGACGGTGATTGTATCATTATCAACACAATAGGCATAGTATTTCAATGCGAAGGCCGAAATTAAAACACTGGGCGAACATTAAATATTTCATAGGCGAAAGGTGAACATGTTCAAGTACACAGTTTGCCATTGTGTGATGACACCTTGGTATATTATAACCTTACTTATGATGTTTCGTTCTCTGTCAACGTTGTGGTCCATTCTGTTCCTGTATGCACACACTTAACATTAAAGCTGTGGTATATTTTATTACTGTAAATTGACGTTGAGGTATATGTGTGGTATATATTATCACTGTAAATTGACGTTCAGGTATATGTGTGATATATATTATCACTGTAAATTGACGTTCAGGTATATGTGTGGTATATATTATCACTGTAAATTGACGTTGAGGTATATGTGTGGTATATATTTTCACTGTAAATTGACGTTGAGGTATATGTGTAGTATATGTTATCACTGTAAATTGACGTTCAGGTATACGTGTGGTATATATTTTCACTGTAAATTGACGTTCAGGTATATGTGTGGTATATATTTTCCTTTTGTAGTGACGACATGGTTTATTCAGCCCCGTGTTTTGACCCTGTGACTTGATTCTTATAACATAGTGTATGTTGTTATTTCTCTAATGCTGTTTCCTATAACACAAATGAATATGGTCAAGACCAAGGCTTTTTAAATTTTCATATTTCCTTTCGCCGATAAATCATTGTCTTTTTGTATCCAGAGAGACGAGACCGAACATCAGATAAGTCACTTTTAAGTCCAATTTTGTGCATGTATGATGCCGCTGCGACGTTTTTCTTTTCTGAAGATATCGTAACAAATCGTACCTTCTATTATCTGTAGGTGATAAAGACACAAGATGAAGTTTCTCCTCGTGCTCGTCACCCTCTACTGCCTGTACGGTCAGTATGTTAGTGATATGGACTGTAGATCGTTCAAAGATACACCTAACGATACAGACATTGTAGAAGTGCTTAGAACTTGTGTCCCAATCGTTGCTCATTATGTATTGAAATTATAATGTATTGTATATATCAGAAATAAATACAGTTTAACCTAAAGATAAATGCAATAGCTCAATGTAGCATATAAATAAGAACAAATATATTTACCGCTCAAGCATTGCTCTAAAAAGCCATCAGGTACTTAAGTAGTTCAACAGATCTTCTAGCTAACACAATTTTCTCAAGGTGGGTTCCGTATTTTTATAATATTTATAAAGTAATAAAAATATATTTTATTACTTTTTAGGACATTTTCATGTATATATTTTTACGGGTTTGTTATTTATTCTAAAATATATTTCTATTAATTAAAAACATTTTCATATTTATATATATATACACAACCGTAACTTTTCATATTTATACATTTTGTATATGCAAAGTACATTTTTATATATATATAAGATGCAAATATTCACCCAACTCGGCGATTTGGGGGGTTAATCGACATTGAGTTCCTTTTTTTGTTTTCTCGTGCTGACGATGTGGTATATCATATTCATTACAGAATCGGGTGCATTGCTACCGCGAAAAGAAACAGAAAACGATTCACATGAACAGGCTGATGTGACTGATGTTACAAACAACATATTTACGTCACAAGGCAGTTTTATGACCGGAAGTCTCACGAGAATGCGCATCAGACGTCAGACGAGTACATGCGCCGGAAAACCATGTCGCTCTCTGTTTTGTCACTGTGAACATAACGAAACGTGTGTCTGCTTATTTGATGAATGGGAACAGTGATTTGTTGATCGATTTCTCAACTTTGATTCAGTAAACATCACATTTTCCCTTTATTCCGGTTAATTGTGAAATTTTGTTTACCATGGTAACAATAAACATAACATTTTACTGTACTTGTATTGTGTTTCCTTTGATGTATTTTTTTTTCACAATTTCCAATTAGCGACTTTTTCAAGAAGAGGTCGATGTTTTGGTAGTTATTTTGATTTCACGAGGTCGATTTGTTTGAGTGAATCCGTATTGAAAGGGGCAGGATTGCAGGTTAACAAACTTCTCGTGAGATTTTTTGTTGTGATTTAGCAAAGGTGTTTTAACCTTTATTTGAATGTAAATACAACACTATAGCGGCCGTAAAATGTAAACATAAAAATACTTGTGACACTTTTGGAAATATTTTATTAGTCGATTATTTTCATTTGAAACCGTTTTAGGTGTGTTAGCGAGCGCATAAGGTGATACAAGTGGGCGCAAACTGTCTTTCTTAGCTGTATTATGACAATGTTCCAATAAGCGTTGCACCAAAGAGAACTGTTTGAAACTATAATTTCTAATTCAATGGACAAACGAATATCGTCGAGAAAATACTTCAAACTGTCCTCGAAACACCAGGAAGACAGTCTACAAGATCGACGTATGTGTCAACAGTCTGAGACGATTCCAACAAGTCGGATTTGTAGAAGCAGAGCTGCATGATACATCAAAGGGGACTACCTCAGACAGAGTAGTGTCTTACATATAGACATGATACATCAAAGGGGACTACCTCAGACAGAGTAGTGTCTTGCATGTAGACATGATACATCAAAGGGGACTACCTCAGACAGAGTAGTGTCTTGCATGTAGACATGATACATCAAAGGGGACTACCTCAGACAGAGTAGTGTCTTGCATGTAGACATGATACATCAAAGGGGACTACCTCAGACAGAGTAGTGTCTTGCATGTAGACATGATACATCAAAGGGGACTACCTCAGACAGAGTAGTGTCTTGCATGTAGACATGATACATCAAAGGGGACTACCTCAGACAGAGTAGTGTCTTGCATGTAGACATGATACATCAAAGGGGACTACCTCAGACAGAGTAGTGTCTTACATGTAGACATGATACACCAAAGGGGACTACCTCAGACAGAGTAGTGTCTTACATGTAGACATGATACACCAAAGGGGACTACCTCAGACAGAGTATTGTCTTACATGTAGACACGATACATCAAAGGGGACTACCTCAGACAGAGTAGTGTCTTACATGTAGACATGATACACCAAAGG